TGTGTGTGTGTGTGTGTGTGTGTGTGTGTGTGGACATTCCTTTTCTATCTAATGAATCCATATCTTTAATTGCTGTTGCCAGGTGGAGTTCTCAATCAGTGAGGTTAAGAGGACCGGACAGCAAAGTGCTGTGTCCATCAAGGTCCTTAACCGTTCTGTCAACACCAAACGGTTGCTGGGCTTTGTGGCCACACTCAAAGACAACTTTGGCTTCATTGAGACTGCCAACCATGACCAGGAGATTTTCTTCCACTACAGGTAGAGTTGGCAACTTCAGTTTGCCTGGTTTTCTCGTATTTAGTTCAGCTCCACCCACCTTGTCATGCCTGGAATACCTCGATCATAAAATAGCCAGTCATGTTGCTGAAACCGTGACCTCCACCCAACGAATGCTGCGATCCCCGTGTCCGAGCAGCGAGCTGTGTGGCGATGTGGAGAGCCTGGAGCTGGGTGACGCCGTGGAGTACACTGTGTCCAAGGGCAAGGGGAACAAAGTCAGCGCTGAGAAGGTCACCAGAGTGGCTGCTGGTAAGTGCCGCTCCCATCGCTGTCCACGAACAATGCTTTGGTAAGTTCATCCACATTGACACTCTGGTCAAGGCATACAGATGTCAATAGGTATACACAGTGGTTACTGGCACACAATCTGAAGACACCACAGTGTTTTTGGTACAAGCCTTCAAGTAGAACAACTGTTACTGTGCTGAAGTTCAATGCTCTTCCCAACAGTGAATGGACTGTGGGAGGATGTGGGTTCGACCGTGGTCATGGGTAAGGTGGTACGGCCTCTACGCAGCGTGGACCCATCCCAGACCGAGTATCAAGGCCTCATCGAGATCACTGAGGAGGGTGAGGCAGCCGTCCCAAAGCCACCTCGTATTCTGAACACGTAATTGTTGCCCAGAAAGTGTTGAAAGTCTTCCACTTCAGCCTACCGTTGGAGCTAAAAATATTGGCACCCATGCACTTCAATTAATGAATTTCTCCTAGAAAACTGAAATTTAAAAAACCTTTTTGGTATCTACATGTGCAACAAAAAAAGTATTTTATTAAATTCCAGATGACGCCCCAGCAAATATTTTTCCACCTTCTAGAGTATTTCAATTGATTCTTTGTTACTTAAGGACAGGGATCGTATACACTTCAGTCATTCATTCAACCAGTCTGAAGAGAGTATACCACACCAGAGAATGCTTTCATTTCCCTTCTCCATGCTCAATCAGGTCAGACATAAGGTTATAGGCCATGGTGTTAACGTTAAACCAGATGGAAAATGTCATAAAATTTAAGTTCCATGGCCCAAATGTTCCTGGCTGCAAGAACTTGATCAAAGATTGCAGCAAACGATTGTTTGCATGGTGGAGAGAGCAGAGTGATCAGCTGCCACGATGATACAAGCTGACCTACAGACGTCGTCTGTCATACGTTCAGTAAAAGGGGGTTAAATGGTAGGAGACTCAGGGACCCCTGTGCTGAGAGGCATCAGAACGTTTCAGCAAATGCAGTCTTTACGGAAAACACAATGAAGCTTTTATAGTGAATGCATTCCCTCAGGTTAAACAGTTATGGCTTAAGACTGCTTTGTGACCTTTGGCACTCTGGCACACGTGCATTTAGGTATTATAGAAGGTGATGAGCCCGTCGGCATGACTCCGAAGAGGGAGAGGTTAAAAAAAAACAGAAAACAAAGATGTCTGGAGATTTCAAATTACACCCTTTGTTATGCTGTTACATAAAACTTGGGTGATCTGATATCAAAAATTTATGAGTAGTTGCAAGTAAAAATTGTACCAAATTTGTGCAAAAGTAGTCAAGCATGATACATTTTATGCAATATTTGGAGAGAGATTCATGACTTGCCAAGATATGCACTTATTTCACTATATTTAGAACAGTTTACAAAGGTCTTGTAATAATTCCAGTATATCCGTTACCCTAGATAAAGAGCGTATTTATTAATGGGTACATATGACCTAAATGAGCCTTTGATCCACTGACATGGACAGATTCTAAAGTTCTGTGGGTAAAATATGTGTTGCTGAAGAGTTTATTCTCTGATGCTTCATCAGTCATTTTTGAAGCTCGATTTCATCAAGAACTATTTCTGGTCTTCCTGGGACCATTCATGTTATGCATGAATCTCTTTCATTGTAGTGCTAGATGCCAATTTTTGTTCCGTGGCACAGTTGTTTTTCAGAAATTCGTTAAGTATCTGCAGTCTGGTTCTGGCTGCAGCTTTGAATTGCTGGGTAGGCAACTGTATCATCTGGGGTTGCTGTTTCTGATTGGGTGGGCCCAGCCCAGCCCTCGCATGAAGCAATTTACATTTTTAGGAACCAGTCCAAAACACCACCACCACCACCACCATGCTGTTGTCTGTCTGAGAGGGTGAAGCTGCCATTTCTTGCTCAGCCTTTGCTACGTCCGTCAGGGCCGCCAGCTTGAGTGTCTCTGCCCATTCCACGTGCTTCACTTTGTATCTGCCCTTCATCAGAGATTGAAGATCTGGCTTTATGTTTCCTAAGGTGGTGCAATATCCTACTTGATTTTGATAAATTAGTGGCAGCAGCTGCAGCAGATGTCTTTGCTGTTGGCTTAAGGCTTTATTAGCCTTTATTTTTAAGGCTTAGGTACCTTATGATCTTATATTTCCCTTTTCTGACCTTTTTCCCAACTGCATTCAGCTCTTTATGGCACATTGGTCTCTGCCAGTCATCTTGGCAATTTCAAGCATTGATTTTCCATCTCCTAAGTTCTTAATGATCACTGTCTTCTCTCCAGTTAAATCAGTCTTGTGTCCCATAATAAACCTTTAGCAAATATATAGAAGATGCTTAATACTGTTGAAAAAAGTTTAAATATGGCTGCAACTTTTATATGCTGCAGTAATCAATGAAATTCTCACAGATGATGTAGACAGCAGACAACTGTCATCAGTGTCCTTGCAAAGTAAGAGAGAAGACGTAAAAAAATCCAACAAACCCTTTTGTATAATAGTGTGACACATGATGAAGATCATTCCACACAAGAAGAATTGGCCAGATATCCATCCTATATTGAAACACAATCAAAGGTTCTGTACTATTAAAGAAATTGAGTCATTTGCAAGTGCATCAGTGCCAGTATTTTGACTACAAGTCTGACAAGGTTTCATCCAGACTTGCATATAAAATGCGATCTCAAACATCTATACAGCTGCTAGTTTCTTTCTACCAATACTTAACTAAATACCGTCTATCATTTTGTAATATTTACTCGTATCATGAAATTATTTTGACTAGCAAAATGGTTCGTCTCAGTATGTACCTCTCCCCTGTAAAGAATGTTTATATGATGGAATTTTGAGAATCGCTACATTTCATTGCCCGTGTGTTTTCAATCATAATTAAGTTCAGCTGCAAAGATGTTAGGAATCGCAGTGTTGTCATAATCTAAGTGGTCAACGTAATCGCCCCCCCCCCCAACCCCCGGTCATCCTGCAGGTAGCCTGAAGGGTCAGAGCTTCCCCTTCGGTATAGTGGGCATGGCCAACAAGGCGGACCCCTTGCAGAAGGGCGAGGCCGTCCGCTTCCAGGTCTGCACTGTGCCACAGACGGGACAGAAGATGGCCTGTAACATTGTACCCCAGCGCCGTGCCCCCGTCGAATGTGTCAAGGACCAGGTATGCCTAAAAATAAGAGCCCCCCCCAACCCAGTGCCATAGTGGATACACAGGGAATGTGACTTCTATGCAGTAGGATCACTGGTCCCAGTTGTTGGGTCCTGTGACTGTTCAGCCAAGTTTTCATCACCTGTTTCTGTATTTAAAAGGAGAAGGAATCTGTGACCTTAGGATAGTTGCATTGTGGCCTCTTGGGTAAAGCCATTCACTGCCTGTCAGTTAAAGGGGGGGCTGTGCTTTTCGACAGTTTGGATTCATTACCTATGAGGTTGGCGAGAGCAAGAAGCTGTTCTTCCATGTGAAAGAGGTTCAGGATGGGCTGGAACTGCAAGCTGGGGATGAGGTGGAGTTCTCAGTCATCCTCAACCAGCGGACGGGCAAATGCAGTGCCTGCAACGTGCGGCGTGTCAGGTGGGCGGGGGAGGCTGACCCTACGGTGGCCCTTCGTTTGTGGAGATCTGCACTGTATGACTGATCTGTATTTGCTCAAACACAATGTTCCTGTGGAAGCAATAAGTTAAAATGAGATGTGGCTGCAGCTTTTTAGTGTGTTTTTTTTTTTTTATTGAATAAAAACACTGCGTTTATATGCATTAATAATTGTGATTATCTTAAAATTGACCGTACTTAGAAACAAGCTGACATAAGGCTTCATGAGCCTTAGGTCTCAGGCCTTTCTTGCTGAAGTGAATATCCGGGGGCTGCATGTCTGACTGCCCCCTAATCCGCATCCCCAGTGAAGGGCCAAAACCAGTGGCGACACCTCGGCCCGACCGGCTGGTGAACCGGCTGAAGAGCATCACGCTGGATGATGCCAGTGCTCCCCGCTTAGTCATTGTGCGGCAACCCCGTGGCCCAGACAACTCTAAGGTGAGAGACCCCCTCGACCCCCCCCCCCCCCCCCCCCCCCCCCCCCTATCAACGTCGCTGTGAACTAACACAGTATGGTTATTGGAGGCAAGGAAGCCTTTTCTCTCTTTTTAGATCTTCCTGTTCATAGTGACAGGATGTTCTGTCCGTTTCCAATTTTAGGGCTTTAATGTGGAACGGAAAACCCATCAAGCCGGTGTCATCGACTGAACCCTCAACTGGACTCCCAGGGCCCATCCCCACCTGATGGAGCAAATAGTTTTAAAAAGTGCAATCCTGCAAGGGGCAAATCTACAGCAGCTGTATTCTATAAATGCTGTGAGATGTGCATGCACAGCCCATTTTCCTGTTCTAGCCAATCCATTCAATGCAGAACCCTCCAAATCCATTGGTCCTCTGCTTTTGTTGTGGGCGTGGCCTCCGGGGCGGCTGAAGGCTTAGGGAAGTCTCTATTCTGTGTTTGTGTGCGTGTTTGTGTAAAATGTTTTAGAGACCCTGTGGAAGGTGGCAGTGGATTTGGTGGGTTCTTTGGTGAAACAGCAATTTACCATCTGGAAAACTGCTCTAGTACCCCAAGTTTGAAACTCAAAAAGTAATATTTAGCGAGAGTCTGGAATTCTTCACCTGTGATGTTAGTGTGTTAAATGCTATTAGTTTTTTTTTTTTTCCTCTACCTTATAAATTCATGCTTTTGACATGGTGGACTTTATTTTTCCAAAAAGAGCTTAAATTTTCTACATTTTCTTTGAAGGGACACTGATTTATTTGACCTTTTAAAACAGATGGCTTCACAAACACAGGCAGCCTTGCTGCTTAGTTCTTACAATAGTCCAAACGGTTAGTCATCCCATGTTTGTGTTTTGATTGTATCCCAACTCCTGATTCACTCTGTGCTCAGGACATCCATCCCAGAACCCATGTATTCAGAATTCCAAATGGCATCTTGTGGTCATCCAGTTATTTTTATACATGAATTTCATTTTCTTCAGTGCACATTTCAGCTATTTTGCTGTTTTCATTGCATTCGTTTATGCTAATGAATGAGAAATTAAACTTAAGGTGCCTAAAAATACGTACACAAAAATGATTAGTAAAAAAAGTAATTTACTAAACTTTTCCCAGCCAACCACCAAAATGTAAAGAA